GTCAGCACTGTAGATTTTCCTATTCAGCTAGTCAATTAGCCATGAAAAAAATGAAAATGAGTAAAAGTAATCAAATTTTATTTAAAAACATTTTCCCAGGATTCACAGGCTTTAAAAAAATGTTCCCATGAAAGGGCATAATTTCAGAAAATTCTGCCTTTTTCATTTTTCACCCTCTTCCAAGGTCAAGTTATTATCAAGCTGTTGATGCACACAGCATGTTAGTTCTGCATCTGGAAATACTTTATGTGGAGAAAATCAGTTTCTTTTTGCCTTTTTTTTTTTTCCAGAGGAAAGCTCAATATAGCAGAAAAATATTTTTCCTTCAGGAAATACAGCCATTTGTTCATTACCAGGCAAATAGGACTCCCCTTCCTTTGGGCCCTCAGCCAGAGTTATTTACACACAGGCTTGTTCAAGCTAACCACCTTGGCTTCGTGCTCCTTCACACCATTTGATACTGTGTGAGATTGGAGCTGTTGTGGATAAAGAAGTGCTTCACTRTGACTCCTTTGTGTTCTGTGGAGGAGTCATGGGCACACTCCCCTATGAGGAAAGATTACCCTTGTTTACGTAGGAGAGTAGACAAACAAGATACAGGAGCCTGGATTCAAGGAACTCATAGGAAGAGGTGTTGAGAGGGTRAACTGGCAATGTCTTTTTCTCTTTTCTCATATGATAAGATGGCACCTGAGCAAAATGAACCCAATATGTACAAATGGGAAAGTGGGATGCTGTGGCWGGAAAKATATTTTATGGTATGAAATGATTAAATTACATGTGAAACTCATAGCTCCTAGCTATCTCTGAGAAGAAGAGCTTGAGATGGTCAGTAGAAGAAGTAGAAGGTAGGCATCTCTCAAAATTAAAAATCAGTTACCTGAATTACTACTGCTCTTCAAATGGATTTTGTGATGCATTTGACATCCAAAATAAAGCAGGAGACAAATGCAGCCCTTTCAGTACTCTTGCCAACTYTTCTGATCCATCTCACTCTCCCTTCTCAGCCTCCTCCATGGCCTCAGAGCCACTGGACGTGCCCTTTAAGGCTTTCTGTGGGTCTCTGGGAGGGACTTAWGGCCAGGACCCTCACCCTCCAAAGCCATTCATCACCCAGGACCCAGCTCAGGGCCCTTCTCTCACAGAGGCAGGGAGGAAGAGCAGGTCTTCCAAAGCGGAGAACAGAAGAGGGAGTACRCCCACTTCCTCCAGCATTGGAAAGACAGCCCTGAATATCTTGCAGTTTTTCTAGGAAACACATGGAGCACTGAATGTAGAGTATTAGAAAAGGCAGTAGTGGGGGCAGATGAGGTAAGGGCAGCAAGAGACTGTTGCTGTCCAGGCAGTCAGAAAAATGAGAGAAGGAACACAGGAGGATAAATAACGATAATGTGTTTTAAACAACATTGATAGGAAACTACTAGTATTTATTTATTTATGAGGAAAACCATTCATGGGCAGTTTCGCACAGATTTTCTCACTAATCAAACCTTAAGAAAGAGGATCTAAACAGCAAAATAACACCACTCCTAGTCTCAGAGACTTTCAAAAAACTGGACACATTTGGTCTATTTTGCTTTCTGCTGCTCACAGTGAAATCAATAGATAACATCAAAGTATAAAGGAATTGTCTCTTTTGCTGCAGTTTTATCTGTAACAACTTTATGAAGAATAATAATGAGCTTGTGGGTACAGGTTTGGGGACCAAGTAATTTTTTCTTAAGAAAGGATGAATTACTTTAAAATCATTAGCTATTTTAGGAACAGTTGTTTAACATTTCAATTCAACGGCAGTAYTATAGAAAAATTATGTAATGCTTTCTATTATCTACTTTGAGAGCAGCACGGTTTACAAAACTGATGGATTCTGTGTGTTCTGAGATCAAACCAAATTTTCAGAATAATTTATAGCRTTTAATAATTGGTGAACATCATTGCTGAGTATTTTCATTCTGAATTGTGTTTGCTGTGAGCTGCAGCTGTGACGGCCAAGGTGCTTTCCAAGCAGCAAGAATGACTCCTTTTTTGATGAATCTGCAAGATCTATATTTAAATAACAACTGTAAATCTTACATCTGAGAGCTCCCTTGGTTGTCTTCTTAGTTTTGTTAGAGTGATAGTTTTATTAAATGCTGGTGTAAATGTAAAAAAAAAAAAAATCTAGAGGGAAATGACAGGATGGTATGATGCAAGGACATCATTATTAAGTTACCTTGCTGCCATGAGTAGGCRAGAGAAAGTGATTCAGAAGTCTGCTGCCTCTCTGTAGAGTCACTGGCAGGAGTTTGGGAGGAAAAGTACCCCGACATCCCAGCTGCAGTGCCTCATGCTCCCTGTGGGAGCGGAGAGGGGCATCGGCCAGGGATGAAGGTCAGTCTGTACTCAGTTACACCCATTCCCCTACAACTGCGCACAAAAGGGGAGTGGGCTGGAGGGACCATGCGCAGACCTCCTCGCCTCTGGGCTAGGGATGTCTCCTCGAAGATAAGGACCCCTTGCAGCTGCAAGTTGTGCAGCTTGTCAAAACCTGCTCTGGGGCTTGAGCCAAACAAATTTTGTACAACAGAGAGGGTCTCTGAGCACAGGTGTAGCTTCACTCTCTCCCCTGGGAACACCTAAGCCACTAAGAGAATGTGGAAAAGCACACACATTATAGCTTCTTGAGATAACCAACATAACTGGAAATAACCCTTATTTAGCAAGACATTACGGAGAAATATGATTTTATTTTGCTTTGAGAATGTATGTAAATAAACTTCTTAAAATTATTTAGAACACTGAACCTTGTTGCAAATGTCCTGTGGGCTGATCTCTGTGACAGAATAAATGAACTTCTGAAGTCTTGTGAGAGTGAGGAGAGAAGATGACAATGCTGGGCAAAGAAGTCAAAGGTGCTGGTCAGGAGTCTGCAGCCTCCCAGATTATGGCAGCCATAATTTGGAGGCAGAGGTAAACACTGCTCTTGTAAAAACAGCAGGATGGGAAAACTTCGGTTTGAAACAAATCCTAAGCGGTCCCATCTCCCATTGACTTATTCTGACATGACATCAAATAAAGATCACAARCCCAAAGTCAATATGTTTGCTCAGACAGAATAATTCCAGTCAAACAATACTCAGTGTCAGGAATGACAGTATCACTTACACCAAAATCGGGAAAACAAAGACAGACATGCTCATGGACTTAACAAGGAGCAAGCAACTCTTTGYTCAACCCTCTTAATATTGAAAGTACTTGTAGGAGCAAGCCTTTTTTGGAAGTCATAATTTATCGTAAGGTTATAGTCACACGATCTTGTGCCCATACCACTTGAGGTAAGTCCCAAGAAATCCCAAGACTCTCCTGAACCTCTTGTATTGAGCAAAATGAAGCACTGTGACTCAGAGACCACCAAAGTCAACAGAAGCCAAGGACCATAGCAGGATGACAAGATTTCTATTAATAGATTCCACGACCTTCTATCTCCCTGTATTGCCAACTCTGGGCACTGAAATCATCCCTAAAAGATGCAGGAACAACTTAAATTTCTTAGTTATTAAAATTATGAAATAATTATTTTATTTATCCTGGCATCTGCCATAAGAACTACTGCTTTCAGGATTTATGTATAAACTTTTTTTCTTTTCATCCAGAAGGCTGATTTTTTTTTCTTAATTTCAGTCAAAATAATAATCTCAGATATCAGTATGACTTCCGATGTCACCGTGACGGTGTTGTGAGTTGGCATCACTTAGAATCAACTTACGGTCGCCTGTAAACGCGGCTGAATGGCTTCCCCAAAAGAAAATTTTCTCCGAAAATTAAGGGAAAACCTGCTGTCAAAAACCCAGCGGGCSCCAATGCCACGGCAAAGCCGAACCAGGCGAGGCGAGGGAAGGGACCCCGGCGCTGCCGGAGCAGCCGGGAGAGGGAACCAGCCGGTTGAGCGTCACTCTCCGAGCAGCCGTGGCAAATCTCAGGAATACAGCCGCTGCTCCCCGGAACCGCGCTCAGGCTTAACTAACTCAAAGCCAGCGTCAGCCGCAGGACTCGGGATGCATGTCGGTGCGGGACCACGGCTGAGTCCTGCTTCAGCGACGGTTCCGAAACCCGTGGGTTYCCGACCACCGCGGGAGGGCGGTGGGATGCTCCCAGGAGGCATGAGCACCGCCTCGCCCCGCCGGGAGGGTATTCCCCTTGCAGCGCCTATGGCCCGGGGTCAGGGGCTGCTGCGGGAGAGCGGCCCCACCGCCGGCCCGGCCCGGCCGAACCCCGCCCCGCCGCCGCCGGGCGCTGCGGGCCCCACTGGCCGCGGGCGGCCCCGTTACGGCGGCGGGGGGATGCGAGCCCCGTTACCGCGGCGGCCGCCCGTGACCCCTCCCGCTCTCCCGGCGGCGCGGGCCGCTCCCGGGGCTGGCGCTTCGCTCGGCTCGGCCGCGGCGCTGGCGGCGAGCGGGTGTTGCAATAAACGCCTGTGTCTGCGGCACAGCCCGGGGCGGGCGGGCTCCCTGCCCTCCGGGGCGGCGGCGAGCCCCGCCGGGCCGGCCTGATGCGCACCCCCTCCTCCGGGGCCACTGCTGAGGGGCGAGCGAGGGTCGGGGTGGTCCCCGCCGGGACAGACCCGGGCTCGGCTGTGAAGCCGCAGCCGGCGGCCGGCACGGGGAGCCCCGGCGGTGTATTGTTCTCCCTGACAGATAACGTGATCTCGGCCAGGCGAGAGCGAGGGGGCGGAGGGGCCGGGGGAGGGAGAGAAAGGAAGCGGAGGGAGGGGAGGGGGCAGGAGGATCCCGCGTCCTCGGAGGAAATTCTCAGGCCGGGAGGACGCGCGGCTTGCGCACGGCAAGCCGGGACTGGCTCTCCTGGGAGTTCCCTAGGCGGGGAGGGGGAGGGGAGCGGCGATCTCCGCCGCCGGGGAGAGGCCGCGGCTTCGCCCTCCGAGGCCCTGCCTCCCCGGTCCGCGCCCTCCCCGGCGCGGAGCTCCCGCGGCTCCCGCCCCGCACAGGCTCCCAGGGCGGGCAGCGCCCAGCACCGCGCCCGGGAGCGCTCCCGCCGCCGCGCGGGGGGACCCGGTGACGTCACGGGCGGCGCGCTCCCCGCGCTCGCTCCGCGCTCGCCGCCCCGTAACTTCTGTTCTGGGAAGTGGTGCCAGGAATAGCCCGGCGGAGCCGCCTGCAGCGCGGAGCGCTCCCTCCCGCCGCGGCCAGGGCGGGCTGCGGCTCCCGGGCCTCCGCCTCTCCCCCGTGCAACACCAGCCCCTTCGCCACTGTCAGGGAGATGGTGATGAGCCTTTCCAAAAAGAGGGAGAGGAATGACTTGCCTTAAGATAAACGCGTGAAGCGGGCGCCCCTTGGCCGCTGGAATATCTCTGTCTGTCTTTATATATAAAGAAGCACCGCGAGCCGCCTCACTCCGGGCGAGCCCTTAGCAAAGGAGCAACACGAGCGCCCGGCGGGATCGGCAGCAGCGGCAACAACAACAAGGGCACCGGGAGGGCTTCCCTCCTTCCTCCTCGGTGACTTCCCAGGTGAGCAGCACCGGCTGCTGCGGGCAGCCCCCTCCTCCCCGCCCGCCGCTCGTCCCCTGTCACCGGCACCAGCTGACAGCCGCGCCGGGGCGGAGGGGCTCGGGTGCGGGGCGCCGCGGGGCTGGGGTCGGGCCGCGGCAGGCAGGGCGCTCGGCTGAGCGGGAGGGGTCTGTGGCCGGCGCTCCGAGTGCCGCCCGGGGCTGCAGGGGTAAATGGAGGGCAAGGCGGCGGGAGGGCGCCGGCGGGGGAAGCCGGCGGGGCTGTAAAACCGCCGGACCGGTAAGTCACCTCTGTGGCGGCGGCTCCGGGCGCTGGCAGGCACCGGCACCGTCCCCGGGGCACCGCGGCGGGCAGCCCTTCCCGCTGAGCCGGCGCGGGAGGGGGACACGGCGGGGACAGGCCTTTGTCGGTGACACGCCGTTAGGAAATGTGGGGAATACCCGGCTTGTAAGTGTATGCAGATGAGGAGAAGGCTGCCTTGCGTAATCCCCTCCTGCGGCGGGGAATGGGCATGGTCACCGCCGGGGAGAGGCGCCCGCGGGGGGGCCGACCCGACGGGGYTCTCACCGCGGCCTCCGGCGCCCCGGGAGCGGATGGGGGGGGCCCAAGGCAGGGGGGGCGCCCGGGGCCACCCGGCGCGGCTGGAGGTAGCGGAGGAAGGGAGAGAGGGAGGGGATCTGCCCCGGCTGCCAGCGCGTCCCCGCAGGGGTGCCGGACACGGGGGGCGTGCGTGTGTGTGCGGGGACACCCAGCACCGCGCTGGGGTGCGTGTGCGAGTGCGTGTGCGCGCTGCGCCGCGGTGACTGTTCCCTGAAGTGGGTGGGACGTTGGCCCGTTCCGGGAATGTTCCATGACGTGTAAACGCCACAGGAAGGGGGTTAACGAGGGGCTCGGCCGGGGCCGCCGCCGGGTCCCTCCCTCTCTCCCTCCCTCTGTCCCCCCGCCCGCCGGCGGGGCTGCCGCGGGGGCCGGCGGGGGCACGATCCCTTATGTAATGCGGGGTACGTGTGCGGCCGGCGGGGATTATGTAAGCGGCACGTCCGCGCCTGTCGCATAGGATATCGCATAGGATACACCGCCGCACGCCGGCTCCGCACCGGGAGGCGGGCAGGGGCGGCGGACTGCCCYGCCGCGTCCCCGCCGTGTCCCCGCCGTCGGGGTCAAGCGGCGCGGGGGAGGCGGGGGAAAGCCCCGGGTTATCCCGGGTCATGCCCCGCATCCCGCCCCGACCTTCCTGCCGGGGGCTGGCGCTCGGCACGGCCTTCCCCTTCGTGAGAGGGAGCCCGAGGCGGAGGGGAAGGAGGGTGACGGTGTCCGTGCTCCCGGTGGTGGGTGTCCCCAAGAGCTCCGGCCCGCGGATGGGGAAGYCGGAGGGAGGCCCCGCCGCCCCAGCCCTCCTGGCCCGGGGTCCCGGCCGGCCGCCGGCCAGCACGTCTTGTCTCTGTGGGCAGGCGGCCGGGGATCGCCCCGGGACAACGATAAACCTCCTCAGAGCTTAATTTCCCGGAAAAGGGTTCTGTTTTTCTTATTAGTTGGCACTAATGGTCAAACTTTTTTAATTTTTTTTTTTTTTTAATGATAGTTGCAGAAATGAAACTAATGCTCAAACACTCAAGAGTTGAGTTTTTTTGGACAGTAATTTAAATTAAAATAATCGAAATACTAATGAGTTTCAGTAGAAATATTTAGCTAAATAGTTTCCCATGTCTCATTTTAAAGTGAAGCCTACTTTAATATTAAACCTGTCTGGTTTTGTACATTATTGAATAATAGAGGGGGCACAAAACCTTTTATGCTGACTTAGTCAAGGGTGTTACTTTTTCTTTAGTTTTTTTTTCTTCTGAAGAATTTATACTGAGAATTATTACGAAAGAAGTAAACAAAGTGGGCAGGAGAGAAGCATTGCTGGGTAGGTCTGTGTTTCTCTTCTTCCCGGAGGCGCGTGTTCGTGCAGCTCCTAGCGCAAGGGGGCTCCGGTCATCATCAGGAGTTCTGGGGACACCGGTAATTAGAGTAGTTGCTACATTAAAAGAACTACTGGTCTAACGAGGTACAAATTCAGTGGGCCCTGTTTTAAATTCTGTTGTTATGGTGGATTACCACTGACTACCAGAGGAATTTGGTCCTCAGGTTATCAGGATACGGTGTGGAATCCTCAATATTTTGATAGTGAAGATGATACGCAGACATGGTAAAAAAGTGCATCTGTTTTTTAAAGATAGGAGAGTCTCTTCCTGTTAGATTTGCAGCATGTGGACACATTTAGATATATGCAGTGTAACCTGGGGGTTATATTTATTTACAGTTAGATGTTAAATCTTTCCTGATCCTTCTATTCAAGAGWTATTTTGGAAACTTCAGGTATGGATTATCTGAAACTTTSTTCATTATTTTGTGTCTCATTTTTTTAAAAAAATAAGTATTTTAGAACAGGCCGAGAGTTTTTTCATGTGAGTTTTAGGGAGTTAGTACTGTCATCTTTGAATGTATTTAAGATTACTGTGGTTTTCAGCTGTGCAAAGGCAGCAGTGGTACGGTACAAAGTCATCATGTCATAACTTTTGTTGATCGAACAATCCACATTTTTAATGTTCTGSAGGTTGTTGTGTGGTTGTTGTTTTCCGATGGCTGTTGGGCATAGCAGTTCTACACATCCTGACTGAGGTGACTTGTTAAAACCTCRCTGCTATGGATTGGAATAAAATCGAGCAGCACTTGTCCCAAAGCACAAATGCAGAGGACTTTTAATTGTGTATCTAAGTCTGATTGTGTGGCAACAGTGCAGAATGCTTCTTTATAAAGGCAGATTTTTAGATTCTCAAGTGACTTGATTGCCTCATATGTGAGATCTGTTTACAAACCTTCTTGTTACTATGAAGACAAAACARAGAGCCATATGCATTCATGTGGTCCTTGCTGAATAATGGTACATGCGTCTACTTGAGTGTTTGGCAGTAGATCATGTTTAGTTTATGTGGTGGCACCCTACAAGGCTATTCTTTTTTGACTTTTAACTATTTCTAATACCACTGGCTGTAGGCAGTAGTGTGAGCACATTTATGACCCTGATCTGCGTGTTTGTAACTAAGCTGGACGTTTTTAAAGCGGGGCATTTATTGTTGAGCATTTTGCCAAACTTCTTTACTTATTCATTTATTTAGGCACTCATTTTTAAAAGAATCMAGGTGAATTGGATTTAAACAGAAGTGAAAGTAATGAGTTCCATTTTGTGTGTCTCTCTGCTCATCATTTTCGGTCAACAGCAGGGGTGGTTACCGTTACTGCATTTGTAATTTAACCATATTGGGTAAGGTAGGTGGAATATAGGAGCTGTGTGCCTGCCTGGCAGAAGTGGTTTACTTAGTGAAATACTGCAATACTCACCCATCAAAGAGAAGAATGCTTGCAATTTAAGGGTATTACTGTAGAGTATACAAGTCATAGTAATGTATAAGCCACAGTAATGTGACTTGGATTATGAAATATGGCACGCCATCTTTCAAATTTGAGTATGGTGGGGCTTTGTAATAAGACGTGGTTGGTGATATTGATAGTTATCTATCCAGCTCTGTAAGTACAGCTCAGCAAGAACTACTTTCTTGCAACTAAGAATTGCAGGTAAATTGGCAGAGCTGAGTACTGACTTCCTCTTTAGGTCCCRTCTAAATCAGGCCCGTGAAAAGTTGGTTCTTTGTGTCAACSGTCTTCACACAGGGTAAAGAGAAAATGTTTTGTCCATTTTACCTCAGAAATTGAGAAGAGCTGAATCTGTCAGTGTGTGGTTTTAAATTATCAGTCCTCCAAGCAGGAGGAATGCATAATTATTACTAGTCTTATAGGTTAAAGGCTTCAGGAAGAGTTAATTGCTAATACTCTTGGGAGTTGAACAGGASTGTTGAGTACCAAGGCTGCATACCTTTGTTATTTGAAAAATGTCCGATAAGCTATGAAGAAACTKCTCTAAAAATGCTGTTTTTTTAAAGAGGCAGGTTATTTTTTCTTAAGATTTCTTAACGAGCATCTCTGAGGTAGTATATCACAGATTAAATATTTTTTAAGTTATTTGGTTTTCTC